GTTTAGATCTCCTAACCAGCCTAGCTGGCAGCAGGACAGACCAACTCATGCCGATGCCCAGTGGCAAGTGCTTCCCTTTCCATGACCAAGAGTTAAAATTCCAGACAGGTTACAAGCATTTCTGAGCATGGAAAAACAAATTCACAATAGCAAATTGAGGAGAACTGGAGATTTTAAGCCCATGCCTGTCATGCAACTCAGAAGTAACCACAGTGCTACTTGCTCTGCTAAATAAAACGTTGTAGGGGTTGAGATTTAAGATGGTTGATGTACATCTACAAGTAATGAGGTTGTATCTCCCCACTGCCTGAAGTTTTATGTCTGAAGACTCTTGCTGCAATGCTAAAACTGACCCAAGATTCTGATTTCTTCCCAAGACTTACTATTTAAAAAGCAGTTAAAAAGAAATATCTTCTCTCTGTCTCACTGAAGAAACAACAGAAAGTTCAGCTTTGAGGACATGAGCTCCAGGGTGATGGCTTTGAGGACCACAGGCAGATGCACAGGGGGCATCACCTCCATATACCCCAGTGATGATTGAACAGTTGATGATGGAGGGGTGAAACAACCCACACACAAAGTGGCTCTCAGGCATCTATAACACTTGGCCAAGCAAGAGAAATTCAAGTCAATGCATTTGTGTGCACTACCAGGAAGGAGTAGCTTCCCCTGCCCCCCAACACTAATCGGAAACAGGTTCTGACAAAAAAACCTTAGCAGCAGCCCATTTTATCTACCCCACCATCGAGACCCAACCTCTTCAATACCATCAGGCTGCAGGAAACAACCTCTGGCGACATTAGGAGCAGTATTTATAAATATACACCTTTGAAGCCAGGTGGCCTTAAAATGTTGTTTCCTGTTGGGTTTCTGTGGTGGTGGGTTTTGGTAGCCAGGGAAGGGCCCCAGGGATGGCTCTTGTGAGAAGCTTCGAGAGAAGCTCCCCTGGCTCCAAGTCAGACCAGTCAGCGCTTCTGCGATTTAACATATTTAAGAGGGGAGGGCATAAAATGAAGTAGCAGCGGAAGTGGAGTGAAGAGAATCAGCGTGGAGAGAGAGGAGTGGGATGTGAGAGAGACAATCAAGTCAGTGGGGAAAGGCAGGAGGAGGTGCCCGAAGCAGAGGTTCCCCTGCAGCCCGTGGTGAGAGGGCAGGCTGTGCCCTGCATCCATGGAGGGTCACAGTGGAGCAGAGACCCCCCTGCAGCCCGGGGAGGACCCCACACCGGAGCAGGTGGCTGCACACGAAGAAGCCGGTGACCCTCTGGCAAGCCTGCTGAAGGACCGCACGCCCGTGGAAGGGACCCACATCAGAGCAGTTAGAGGAGAAAACTCCAGCCCGTGAGAAGGACTCATGCCAGGGAGGTGATAGGAATATAGACGTATATGTCTTTACAAATGGAGTTTGTTGAGTGTGTACAACTTTTCAATTAGAGAATGTATCTAGTTAACCAATCAGGTTTTGGAAAAATGGAAGAACCGAAAGTTTGTTGAAAAACCGAGTACAGTCTTAACTCTTGATCTTTAG